AGAGCAAAGACGCGTCTATACATGTAAGGTTAGAGTTGGAATGCTTGTAGCTACGCGTTGCAGGTCACGAAAGATTTTCATTCACATTTTAAAGAGCTACAACCCTAAATTTGCTGTTGGATTTTAATACGCAATTCTGGCGTATTTCACACTAAAATCAGATCAAATAGCCTGATGACTCATCCGAGTTTTCAATGAATCTCAGCAGCTTAAAACACCTCTTTGCTCTTCTGCTTTTGACTTCTTTAACTTTCACTTCAAATTCTTTTAATTCTTCAGGGGCTGGCTCGGTTTTAAGGTTAACTGGGGCATGTATTCTTGTTGCTCTATCTTCTTTTCATGTTATTCCTATTTTTCCGCAAGAATTTGAACAGGCTGAAAATCTTGACAAGTTAGAGGTTGCATACAAAAAATACCCATCTGCCGATGCTATGACTTCAGGTGCTTCTTATGACCAAGCTATAGCGATCTCTCCTGGTCCGAATACAAGAGTCTTGATGAATGAAAGTGCTACACACAAAAACTTGGGCATACAGTCTAGCAGCGATGTCATTAAATCAGATAAAGATAATGCCAGCGCTTCGAATATTACACCTCCAACTGGAAATGTAGAATTCAAAATTTCAACTTCAGATATCACAGAGATGCCCTCAAAAAAGCCTTCTTCTTCCAACATGTCTGCTGATATGAATTTGGATAAGTCTAAATGGTATTATAACTTTGAATTTCGCTCGGAGATAGAGCGTTCTTTTGCCTTTTATGGTTTTTATTTCGGTGGGATCCTTGGATCGGTGGTTACCATATTTACTTCGTACTACAGCACTCAAGAGAATCTAGGTGCCAGTGCTACATTCCTCTTTTTTGGAGGGCTGATTTCTTGTGCTTCAATCTATGGGACATTCTTAGGTATTGGGCGTTTGTTTCTTGGAATCGGCAGTGGAATTGCTGGTACAATGGTTCCCATTTTTATTAGCGATTCCCTGCTGATTTTAGATTATAAGTTCATAGCCGAGAGTTTTACAACCATTTATCCACTAATTCTTTCAGGAAGTGGACTTTTTAATGGATTCCTCCAACAGTATTGGTTACATAGCTATTCTTTGGCCTGGAGAATTCTTAATTGTGGAACCGCATTATTAGCACTAATAGCCTTTTTTCTTGTATTTATTCCGTTTTTTGAGCAAGATTTTTTCCCTGGAAAATATGTTTTGTATCGGCAAGATTTGTCCCCTGGAAACTATTTTCTTTCTGAGAAAGATTCACCCCCTGGCGAAGATTCACAGCCTGGCCAAGATTCACCCCCTGGCGAAGATTCACAGCCTGGCCAAGATTTATTCCCTGAAGAAAATCTCCTTCTTAAAGATAAAAATATATCCAAAAAAATTTTGATCATCAAAAAAACCTTTAAAGAGAACATAGTTAGTATTTTTTGTTCGGTTATTAAGGAGGGGAGGAAATCGTTTCTAATTATCATCTTCCTCCATATTCTTCAAAAGTTTTCTCTGATTAACCGATATTTTTGCTACAAAGGGGAAATATCTTACAGCCCGTGGGATATTTCTTTTCTTGTGGAACTTGCTCCTTTACTTGGAGCATTTTTAAATGTTGCAATTAACGCTCTAAAAAACCTGGACGGGACAAGCAATAATTTTATCGTGAATGTAGCCAATAGGGTTGATATGAAATATATCGGTGTAGTTAGTGGAGCTGGATGCACAATTTCTTCGTTCTTACTCTTCATTAGTTTATGGACCAATATAGAACCGATAAAAGTTACTGCATCATTCAGCTTTATCTTTTTTTTTCATTCGGGTTTGAATCTATCCCTTGGATGATTAGTCCAACAATCACATCCCCAGATTTTCAGAGGGCTTATGGTTCTTTTGGATCTATAGTGAGTTGGTTATGTGCTTTCCTATTTAGCCTGACCGAAAATATGATTATTTCCTCTTTAAAGGACTTTTCAACTATCCTTTTTGGAGTGTTTTGCGCTGTTTTTACGCTAATTATGGCG